GATCAGGTCTCTGAACTGGGTCCTGGAGGTCCAGATCCGGGTCCCAGCTGGATCAGAGCCTCTGAACTGGGTCCTGGAGGTTTAGATCCAGGTCCAGGCCAGCTCAGAGCCTCTGACCCTGGTCCTGGAGGCCCAGATCCAGGTCCCAGCTGGATCAGGTCTCTGAACTTGGTCCTGGAGGCCCAGATCCAGGTCCTAGCCGGATCAGAGCCTCTGAACAGGGTCCTGGAGGTCCAGATCCAGGTCCTAGCCGGATCAGAGCCTCTGACCCAGGTCCTGGAGGCCCAGATCCAGGTCCTAGCCGGATCAGAGCCTCTGAACTGGGTCCTGGAGGCCAAGACCCAGGTCCCAGCTAGATCGGGCCTCTGACCCAGGTCCTGGAGGTCCAGATCTGGGTCTCAGCCGGTTCAGGCCTCTGAACAGGGTCCTGGAGGTCCAGATCCAGGTCCCAGTCGGCTCAGAGCCTCTGAACTGGGTCCTGGAAGTCTAGATCCAAGTCCCAGCTGGATTGGGGCTCTGACCCGGGTCCTGGAGGTCCAGATCCAGGTCTCAGCTGGATCAGAGCCTCTGACCCGGGTCCTGGAGGCACAGATCCAGGTCCCAGCTGGATCGGGCCTCTGAACCGGGTCATGGAGGTCCAGATCCGGGTCCCAGCTGGATCAGAGCCTCTGACCCGGGTCCTGGAGGTCCAGATCCAGGTCCCAGCCGGATCAGGTCTCTGAACTGGGTCCTGGAGGTCCAGATCCAAGTCCCAGCTGGATCGGGACTCTGAACCGGGTCATGGAGGTCCAGATCCAGGTCCTGTAGGCCCAGATCCAAGTCCAGGTTGGCTCAGAGCCTCTGGACCGGGTCCTGGAGGTTCAGATCCGGGTCCCAGCTGGATCAGAGCCTCTGACCCGGGTCCTGGAGGCCCAGATCCAGGTCCGGGCCGGCTCAGAGCCGCTGTTCGGCCCGTTTCCTCCACTAGGGGGCAGCAGCACCCCTCCATGCAAACACCCAACCCAGCTGCTGGTCCAGCTTCCTCCATCAGCCCCCCAGAACCCCAGTCCTGAGTCCAGAGCCCGGCTCCCCGTCTGGCCCAGCAGCTGGGCGAGTTCCCCCCCAAAGCAGAGCGCCTGCAGCCCTCTGCGTCCTTTATCGGCCTGACCACTGATGGCCTTAACTGTGGAGTTCTGGAGGTAATAATCAGTAATCCTACACATTTCAGCTTTAAATGTATGTTTTTTGGTGGTAATAATCAGAAATCACACAGTTTTGAGCTTTAAATGTGTGTTTTTTTGGTCGAAATAATCAATAACCCCACAGTTTTTAGCTTTAAATGTGTGTTATTTGTAGAAATAGTCAGATTTGACCCTCCTCCTATCCCTGAAACCATCTTTTTTGCCATGTTTGTTTTTACAAATCAGTTTTTGATCCCTGAACTGGACAAAAAGCGCTAACTCCCCTGCAGCTGAATCCTTTCTGGGGGAATGATGAGAAGTTCCCGAAGTAGAAATAATCAATAATCTCACAGTTTAGATATTTAAAGGTGGACCAAAGAGGACCTGAGGGGACCAAAGAGGACCATAGAGGACCAAGGCGACCAGAGCTGGACAAATGAAAGGACTTCCTCTGTCTGGTGAGTTTGTGTTTGGGCTTTGTGGGCTGTTTGGCTCTGTGACCTCTGAGCCAGACCCCAGAGGACCCAATCAGACCCCAGCAGATCCCTGCAGACCCCCCCCC